TTGAAAGGGGCATGTTCAAAATAATAGCAGTGTGGAGTTCTATTAGTGAGGTCATTCATTCTTTGAAAAACAGGTGGCAATTATTGCCCTTATTTAAGGAAGGAAGGCACAGCAAATGTTGTACATGCTGGTTATAGTGCATTTCTCTCTGAAATTCTGAGGAAAATGGGTCGTTCCAGACATTGTTCAGAAGAACAGCGTACCTTGATTAAAAAGTTGATTGGAGAGTGGAAAACATATAAAGAAGTGCAGAAAATGATAGGCTGCTCAGCTAAAATGATCGCAGATGCTTTAAAATAGCAACCAAAACCTGAAAGACGTGGAAGAAAGCGAAAAACTACCATTCGAATGGATAGAAGAATAGCCAAAATGGCAAGGACTCAGCCAACAATCAGCTCCAGAAAGATCAAAGGGTCTAAAGTTACCTGTGAGTACTGTTACAATTAGAAGATGCCTATGTGAAGCCAAGCTATCTGCAAGAAGCCCCCGCAAAGTCCCACTGTTGAAAAAAAGACGTGTGCTGAAGAGGTTACAATTTGCCAAAGAGCACATTGACTGGCCTAAAGAGAAATGGCGCAACATTTTGTGGAATGATGAAAGTAAGATTGTTCTTTTTGGGTCTAGTGGCCGGAGACATTTTGTCAGACGACCCCCAAACACTGAATTCAAGCCACAGTACACTGTGAAGACAGTGAAGCATGGTTGCACAAGTATCATGATATGGGGATGTTTCTCATACTACGGTGTTGGGCCTATTTATCGCATACCAGGGATCATGGATCAGTTTGAATACATCAGAATACTTGAAGAGGTCATGCTGCCTTATGCTGAAGAGGAAATGCCCTTGAAATGGGTGTTCCAACAAGACAACAACCCCAAACACACCAGTAAACGTGCAACATCTTGGTTCCAGACCAACAAGATTTACGATATGGAGTGGCCAGCCCAATCCCCGGATCTTAATCCAATAGAAAACTTGTGGGGGTGACATCAAAAATGCAGTTTCTGAGGCAAAACCAAGAAATAGAGAAGAACTGTGGAATGTAGTCCAATCATCCTGGGCTGGAATACCTGTTCACAGGTGCCAGAAGTTGGTTGACTCCATGCAACACAGATGTACAGCAGTTCTCAGAAACAGTGCTTATACAACGAAATATTCATTAAATGATTCAAAGAAAAGCAAAATATTCAAACATTTTTCAGTTTATATAGTGAATGTTTGAGTTTGTAAAGAAGAATACAAACACTGCTATTTTTTTGAACAGTCTAATATTCACTTTTCTTCAATTTTTTTTTAGAGGAACAACACAAATTTGATCTATTTTTCTTCATGTTTTGATTTGGAATAGAATGTGTAGTGTTCCCAATGCATTTGTGCGTATGGAAATAAAAGCTATTAGAAGGATTTTGAGCTTTATTCACTGTTTTCAACACACTGCTATTATTTTGAACACAACTGTAATGGTGGAATCCATCATAGGAATCGTTTATTCTGTGGAGGAGTCTGTCTGGGGATACATACAGTGAGGAAAATAATTATTTGATTCCCTGAAGATTTTGTAAGTTTGCCCACTTACAAAGAAATGAAGGGTCTATAATCTTTATCACAGGTGTATTTTAAATAATAGAGACAGAATATCAACCAAAAATCCAGAAAGAAAAAATACGATACAAATGTTATAAATTGAGTTGCAATTCAGTGAGTAAAATAAGCATTTGATCCCCTACCAACCAACAATAATTCTGGCTCCCACAGACTGGCTATGTGCTCATGCGGTACACAGATTAGTCCTATCAATTTAAGAAGGTGCTCCTAACTCGTTATGTGTATAAAAGATACCTGTACAAAGAATCTCTTTCTTGGGCATCACCATGGCAAGACCAAAGAGCTGTCAAAGGATGCCAGGGACAAGATTGTAGACCTGCACAAGGCTGGAATGGGCTACAAGACCATCAGCAAGAAGCTTGGTGGGAAGGAGACAACTTTGGAGCCATTATTCACAAATGGAAATATACAAAATAACCATCAATCTCTCTCGGTCTGGAGCTCCATGCAAGATTTCGCCTCATGGGATAAGGATGGTCATGAGAAAAGTGAGGAATCAGCCAGAACTACATGGGAGGAGCTTGTGAATGATCTCAAAGCAGTTGAGATCAGTCACCAAACAAACCATTGGTAACACAATACGCCTCCATGGATTGAAATCCTGCAGTGCCCGCAAGGTCCCCCTCCTCAATAAGGCACATGTTTGCCAATGAACATCTAAATGATGCAGAGAAGGATTGGGAGAAAGTGCTGATGTCAGATGAGACCAAAAGTGAGCTCTTTGGCATTAACTCGACTTGCCATGTTTGGAGGAAGAAAAATATTGACTGATGCTAAGAACACCATCCCTACAGTCAAGCACAGAGGAGGAAATATTATACCCGTTTCTCTGCTAAAGGTACAGACCGGCTTTGCCGATTGAGGGAGCCAATGAATGGGCCATGTATTGTAAAAATCTTGGATGAGAATCTTCTTCCCTCAGCCAGAACACTGAAGATGGGTTGTGGATGGGTCTTCCAGCATGACAATGACCCAAAATATACAGCCAAAGCAACAAAGCAGTGGCTCAAGAAGAAGCATATTAAGGTCATGTAGTGGACTATCCAGTCTCCAGACCTTAATACTATAGAACATTTATGGAGGGATCTGAAACTTCAAGTTGCCAAGTTACAGCCCAGAAACCTTAAGGATTTAGAGAGGATCTATAAAGAAGAGAGGACCAAAATCCCTCCTGAGATGTGTGCAAACCTGGTAAACAACTACAAGAAACGTCTTACCTCTGTACTTGTCAGCAAGGGTTTCTCCACCAAGTACTAAGTCATGTTTTGCTTGGGGATCAAATACATATTTTACTCACTGAACTGCAACTTCAGTTTATAACATTTGTGTCATGTGTTTTTTCTGGATTTTTGGTTGATATTCTGTCTCTATCCTTTAAAATACACATATGATAAAGATTATGATAAAACTTACAGGACAACATCCACTTATATCCATAAAAAAGGAAAAGGATCCGGACCTTTTCATTTTTTTTCTGTGGACATAAACTGACTCCTAGGTTATAGTCAGATATAAATCGACTTACGTCTGTTTATAGCCACCCACCTAGACATACATTATGGTACAGTCTGGATCCATCTGAAAAAACTGACAGAAGGATCCACACTGAACGTCCCGGTGATAGGGTTTCTAAATCTGTGGGTGATAGGCTACTTTGATTCCTTTGGTGGATAAACTTTTGTTGCAAAATTCACTTTCACTTCTGAAGTTCTTGCTCACAGTACTTTTCTTTTTTTATCTGTAGATGTTCTCAGTTTAATGGGCCAGCATCATTCAATCTACTTCCTCTGAGCCCAGCTCACTCTGGACCCCACTACAGACTGTAACTCAGCGGTTCTCACCTGGGGGTCGAATGACCATTTCACAGGGGTCGCCTAAGGACCATCGGAAAACACATATTTCGATGGTCTTAGGAACCGAGGTTTTACACGCTCCTGTCTCAGGCGATCTGTGGGCGGGATGATATGCTGCCCCTGTAACCTGGCCACACCTCCGGGATCGCTCAACAGCTCCGCCTCCTCGCCGCTGATTGGCCACCGGAACTGTAGCTCAGGAGAGGCACACAGGCGGCCAATCACCAGAGGAGAGATGGGAGCTTGGAGAGGAGGAGCCGAGCGGCAGCGTGCGGAGATCAAAGAGAATCGAGGGAGCTGCAGGTAGCGAGTGAAGAGATGAGGCCAGAGAAGGAGACTAGCTGACAGGTAAGTGCAAATTTTGCTGCTGCAGCCAGGTATGCAGGCTGTAGATGGGAGAGGGAGAGAGCGAGCCCAGGCTGGAGCAGGAGGTCAGCAAGGGTAAGTATCATTGGTGTCAGTGGAAGGGATAGTGCCCTCATCATTTGTGTCACTAATACCAACGATGGGGCACTATTCCTCCCCCCACTGACACCAACGATGGGGCACTCTTCCCTACCCCCACTGACACCAACGATGGGGACATATTCCTCCCCCCACTGACACCAAGAATGGGGCACTATTCCTCCTCCACTGACACCAAGAATGGGGAACTATTCCCCCCCCACTGTCACCAACGATGGGGCACTATTCCTCCCCCCCACTGACACCAACGATGGGGGCACTTATTCCTCCCCCCACTGACACCAACAATGGGGCACTATTCCTCCCCCACTGACACCAAGAATGGGGCACTATTCCTCCCCCCACGACAGCAACGATGGGACACTATTTCCCCCCCCCACTGACACCAATGATGGGTCACTATTCCCCCCTCCACCACACTGACATCAATGATGGGGCACTATTCCTCCCACTGACACCAATGATGGGGAACTATTCCTCCCACTGAACACCAATGATGGGGCACTATTCTTCCCTGACACCAATGATGGGGCACTATTCCTCCAACTGACACCAATGATGGGGCACTATTCCTCCCACTGATACCAATGATGGGGGCACTATTCCTCCCACTGACACCAATGATGGGGCACTATTTTCCTTCCACTGACACCAATGATGAGGCACTATTCCTCCCAATGACACCCAATGGGGCACTATTCCTCCCACTGACACCCACAATGGGGCACTATTCCTCCCACTGGACACCAATGATGGGGCACTATTCCTCCCACTGATACCAATGATGGGGCACTATTCCTCCCACTGACACCAATGATGGGGCACTATTCCTCCACTGACACCCACAATGGGGCACTATTCCTCCCGACACCCACAATGGGGCACTATTCCTCCACTGACACCACAATGGGGCCACTATTCCTCCCACTGACACCCACAATGGGGCACTATTCCTCCCCACTGACACCCACAATGGGGCACTATTCCTCCACTGATACCAATGATTGTACACTATTCCTCCCACTGATACCAATGATTGTACACACTATTCCTCCACTGACGCCAATGATGGGGCACTATTCCTCCCACTGACGCCAATGATGGGGCACTATTCCTCCCACTGATGCCAATGATTGTACACTATTCCTCCCACTGATGCCAATGATGGGGCACTATTCCCCCCACTGACACCCAATGATGGGGCACTATTCCTCTCCACTGACACCAATGATGGGGCACTATTCCTCCCTACTGTCACAGCTGACACCGATGATGGGGCACTATTCCTCCCACTGACACCAATGATGGGGCACTATTCCTCCCACTGACACAGTGATGGGGCACTATATTCCTCCACTTGGAGACACCAATGATGGGGCACTATTCCCACCCCACTGACACAATGATGGGGCACTATTTCCTCCCACTGACACCAATGATGGGGCACTATTCCTCCCACTGACACCGATGATGGGGGCACTATTCCTCCCACTGACACCAATGATGGGGCACTATTCTCTCCCACTGACACCAGTGATGGGGCACTATTCCTCCCACTGACACCAATGATGGGGCACTATATTCCCCCCACTGACACCAATGATGGGGCACTATTCCTCCCACTGACACCAATGATGGAGCACTATTCCTCCCTACTGACACCAATGATGGGGCACTATTCCTCCCACTGATACCAATGATGGGGCACTATTCCTCCCACTGACACCAATGATGAGGCACTATTCCTCCCACTGATACCAATGATGGGACACTATTCATCCCACTGATACCAACGATGGCGACACTATTCATCCCACTGACATCAGTGATGGGGCGCTAGTCCTCCCACTGCAAAATTACAGTTATGAAGTAGCAACGAAAATAATTTATGGTTGGGGGTCACCACAACATGAGGAACTGTATTAAGGGGATTTCGCGGCATTAGAAAGGTGAGAAACCACTGCTGTAACTGGACAGTGAAAGGAGAAGCAAAAGAATCTGTACAGGGATTGCAAGAGGCTGATTGCAGTCATCTTCAGGTTGCCTGCCTAATGGGACAAGGGGATTATTTTTTACAATGCTTTGGCATGTGTACACCCCCAAACTGCTGCCCTTTGCAGCTTAAAAGAGAAGTATGGAATAGTTTTTTTTCTTTTGTTTTGTTTTTTTTTTTAATATACTTACCTAGGTGGATGCAACATCGATCTGATGCTGGCATCTAACCCCCGCCGGCTCTAAGGCTAAGAACTGAGCAGTCAAACACTGCTGATTACTCAGTTCTCGCCCACCACTCTGAGGGAGTCACAATAGCAGTGACTGTCAGTCACCAATGTCTGCTCTGCCCCCCTCCAGCATTCATTGGGAGGCTGAACCATGTGTCGGTCCAGGCTCCTGGGTGGATCCTGACCGGCTCTGTGATGTCAGTCAAAGTGAGTCAGCTGTCAGCTAAAAAACAGGTCACAGGAGTGCAGAACAAACTGTACTCCTGTAATCCACAGGAGAGGTACAGATAGACAATCTTTAGCTGTACTTCTTTAACCCCTTCACGCCTAAGGGTTTTAAAACAAATCTAAATGCCTAAGCACAATTCTGCACCGTTGACATGTGATAGCAAAACCGTACATATCATCACAACTACTTTGCACATCCAGGTGGATTATACCTTGATTTTTTCAGGACAAATTGGGCTTTCATTTGGTGGTAAATGGTAATGGATTTCTCCTGATTTTTTTTTTATTATCAAAGGAAAACTGGCCAAAAATAGTAAAAAAAAAATCCTTTTATTTTAATTTAGCTATGTGTTTCTTGTTATGACCATAAACCTACCACCAAAGAGAAACCCAAAATAAATTCTCCAGCTCTTGACGATCGCAGCGATACCATATATGTGTATGTTATTTGTTGTTTGTACCCTTAGTACAGCCCAGAAACCATAGTGGCGCATTTTTGTTTTTGTCTTTTTTTTTTTTTTTTTAACCTAAAAAACACTGACACTAACTGACACTGACATTAAGATTAACTGACACTGATACCAATTTTTTTTAAATCCTGACCTTGACTTTTGACCCTGACCTTTGACCTTGACCCTGACCTTTGACCTTGACCCTGACCTAAACACTAACCCTGGCACTGAACTAGATCAAACCTTGATCTAGGTATTTTTTTTTATTTTTTCTTTTATTTTTTTAATATTTATTTATTTATCTTTTTTTTTTTTTTTTTTTTTTACAAACTTTTTTTTTTCCTTCTCTCTGACAGGAGTTCGAGAGATACAATGTATCTCTCTTCTCCATTCATAGAGAGAGAGAGAGAAAAAAAACAAGGGGGCCGGGGCTGCACAGTGACTGATCACTGTGATAGCCAATCAGAGGCTATCACAGCGATCATGTGACCCGGAACCGGGAGTCCCGGGTCCCGATCGTTAGAACGGGACCCGGTGCTCTCAGTGACACCGCGGTCTCGGTTGCTGGGAGCGCGCTGAGGGGCGCGCTCCCAACACAAAGACAGGTACGCAAATATGCGGCCCCACGGAAAAAAGCCCAGGTCCGTGAGGCCGCATATTTTGTGTTACGTCGGCGTCAAGGGGTTAAGAGGAGCGGTGGGGGGCACTAAAAAATGCAACTCAACCTCAAGTGTAAACTACGCCTAAGGCAGACCTGGTTAATGAGCTCTGCCTAAATAAAGATGCTCCCCCTTAATGGAGATCCCAAGACATGCTGCTCTACTGTGGTCAGGTGTTGGATGTCAAAGGGAGCTTAAAACAGCTGATAGATGGGTGATAAAGGAATTGATTGGGCGTTTCACCCTTTTTTTGTACTCCTTCTCCAGTATTCCCTGGACTTTAGAACTGTACCAGTGTGGGGACCCCACCTTCCCCCAGTGGTCTAACAGGATTTTGAGCACTGAGGGTAGGGGGCCTGTACGCCTTCTGGGGTCCTGGCACTGGATTAGACCTGCAGCAAAAACTTTTGAACACTAAACATAAATACTGTACATCGTGGTGCTTGTAGCTGCTGCCCATTGCAGTATATGTACAGTGGCGGGTCAGCATGTGGTTAATTACCAATGGTATTTGTAATATGCAGCATGAAGGGGGTTAATGTACTGCTGCCCACTGGTTAATGATGCATGGCAGCACAGTGGCTAAATGGTTAGCACTTCCACCTGGCAGTACTAGGATTATCTGTTCGAATCCCAACCACGGACCACCTGCCTGGAGTTTGCATGTTCTCCCCTGTGCCTGCATGGGTTTTTCTCCAGTTTCCTCCCACACTCCAAAGACATGCTGGTAGGTTAATGGATCCTGTCTAAAATTGGCTCTAGCATGTGGGGATGTATGAATGTGAGTTAGGGACTTTAGATTGTACACCCCTTGAGGGTTAGGGAGTGATGTGAATGTACAATATATATTGTAAAGCGCTGCGTAAATTGACAGCACTATATAAGTACCTGTAATAAATAAATAAAATTATTATAAATTAACCCCTTTGTGTTGCATTAGTGGCACCTATTATCAGTGTTAATTAAATCCTTTATGCTGCAGCATAACCACCCCCCCGGCCTCTCAATATATGTCACTCCGGGCAGGGACTAGGAAGCACCTGTCGGACATAGATCGCTCTCCGCCTGACAGGGGTAGTGAAGGGTTGGTCCTAGGCTTGTGCCGGGTGCAGGAGCGCACTCGGCACAGTGTGTTGCAAGCTATGGCTCTGACTGCAAGTAGCAGGCTGGCGGCCATGGTAAGCTGTGTACATTCAGTGTTACTTGGCTAGCAAAGTTTTAGCAGCACCTCACCTGCGCTTGCACCCCCCCTTCTTCCAGCGAATTGTGCCACCCAGGGCTTTGGCCCGCTCCAACCCCCCCCCCGTGTCCCGGCCCTGCTTACCTTGCTATCACTCCCCCATCACTCCCTTTACTGTTGCAGTCAGCGACAATAATATCTTCAGGTATAGGAAGCATGCAACCTCCTCTTACAGGACAGTGCTAAGGTCTAGCAGATGGTCACATTATGGGGGAATCGATGGTGGAGAAGGATCAGGGAGTTCTGGTAGATCACAAGCTTAATAATGGCATGCAATGCCAAGCTGCGGCTTCTAAAGCGAGCAAAATCCTCTCTTGTATTAAAAAAGAGGTATAGACTCCAGAGAGTGAGATAGATATCATATTACCCCGGTACAAATCATTAGTAAGACCTCATCTGGAATATGCAGTTCAGTTTTGGGCACCAATTCACAAAAAGAACATTGGGGGACTGGAGAAAGGACAGAGAAGGGCAACCAAACTGATAAGAGGCATGGAGGAGCTCAGCTATGAGGAAAGATTAGAGGAACTGAATGTTATTCTCTCTTGAGAAGAGGGGATTAAAGGGGGATATGATCAACATGTATAAATACATCAGTGGTTCATATAGTGAACTCGATTGTAGAGCTATTCACCCTGAGGTCATCACAGAGGACAAGGGGGCACTCTTCGCGTCTGGTGGAAAAGAAATGTAATCTCCAAATGCGGAAAGGTTTTCTTCACAGTAAGAGCTGTGAAAATGTGGAAATAGACTCCCTCAAGAGTTGGTTCTGGCCACAGGCTCAGTGGATTGCTTTAAGAAATGCCTGGATTCTTTCCTAGATACACAGAATATAAACTGGATAATAACTAACATTTATAGGTAAAGTTGATCCAGGGAATATCCAATTGCCTCTCGGGGGATCAGGAAGGATTTTTTTTCCCTACAGGAGCAAATTGGATCATGCTTTGCTGGTTTTTTTTTGCCTTCCTCTGGATCAACTGTGGGTAGAGGATTATAACTTTTTTTTTATGGTTGAACTGGATGGACTTTTTTATTTTTTTTATGGTTGAACTGGATGGACTTTTTTCTTTTTTTATGGTTGAACTGGATGGACTTTTGTATTTTTTCAGCCAGACTAACTATGTAACTATATGTTCATACAGTAGGTTAGTGATCCCCTAGTATCTGAGCACCAGCTGACACTGTATATTAATGCACCGGAGTGAAATGGCAAGGTGGTGCAGGCAAGGTTAATTATCAGTGGGTTGGGGGGATCCTCATTACACAGACACTGTCACTTTGCTGAGAATAGGCATGTGACCAATGTCTCGCGCTCAGTTTATAGTGGGACACTGTATAGGCTGCATATTAACATGGGTACCCTGCTTGCTCTTCCTCTCACTGTTCAACTGTTCGTACACGCGTGCACTAAAAACCACAGTTACCCGTCGTCCGATGTCATTACTGGTGGATGCTGGGAGTGTGCGGGGCTGCTGATTAAATAAGGTCATGCAGGCAGCGTTTGTTGAGCGTAAGCAGAGAGATACCTGTGCGTTATTGATCGTCTGTCATCCACCACTTTTCAAAAATACAAAAATAAATAAATATACTGAAGCATATAAATCAGATCCCAACCCTCGCTTAACCCAGCCATCTGAGCTCCTCCCGATGCCATTAAATCATTGTTTAGAGACCTCTCTCTGCACTGCCATGACAAGCTATGGAAATACTGGTTTCATCACATCACCGCAGACATTGGGACAGACTCAGTCTTACTCTCCTAGCGTCGGCGT